ATAACAGCGACAAACCATAAAAAACAATAACGTATATACAGACAAAGAATATGTGGCTGCCATGTTAGGCGCCGGAAGTCCACTTAAATAAATTAAATTAAATAAATCATTATTTCCTTATCATTTTTCTCACCTCCAGTTAATACATACACTGGGCAGCTAAGATGTCCTTTTATTTCCTGCAATGAAAAAAGGCTAGGCATGAACTTTAAAAAATGACACTGAATCTCTCCATTTACAGTATGGGAGTGGTAATTCAGTAACAAATTGGGGCAATCTAGAAATTAAAAAAATTACTACTTCAGTCGTAATTTAGTGCCTTTCTCTCTCTCTTTCTCTCTCTTTTTACAAAGTTATGATACAAATATTTAAAGGTCTTCATTTTCCCATTTGCATCCCTACTTCCAGTAAAATGAGCTCAATTTGTCTAATTTACTACTAAGGATTTCATACATTATAATAATATACCTTTGCAACAGTACTGAACTGTGATGGGAGACAAGCAATGAAAAGAATGTGTACAGCAGAAGCAACCTGAAGGAAAAAGAAATAATGCTGGTATCGATACTATAGTATGATTGAATTTTAAAAGGGTTATGACTTGCAATAATACAATAATACAACTATAGCATGATCAACACAATCTCTGTCACCACCAACACCACCATCATCATTAACACCATCACCACCATGACTTTAATCACCAATAACAATCTCATCACCATCACCATCCTCATCATCATCACCATCATAATGTCATCAACATCAACCTTGTCATCATCATGATCATTATCATAACTATCTTCATCATCATCATCATCATATACATGTATATAAGTCGAAAGGGTGAAGATGGATCACAAGAGAAAGCATGGCTAATATAAACCTACAAATTCTTTGGCATTCAACATATATTATTTCAATATAACACTAATACTATAAAGACAGATGGAACTTTACCTTCACATTATCAAATCCACAGTGCACTCCCCTGGACTGCAGTGCTGATAATGTTTCAGGTCGCCTGGTGGAAATAAATATTTCTTCTGGATGTACATCGGCTACAAAAATTAACAATACAATCATTCAGCTGTGGCATTAATGATATAAATCACTCAAAAGTAAGTGTGTATTGTGAAAGTGTGCTTTTGAATTAAAAGTTTTAACATATTAAAATAATGTGTGGTATATATATATATAATCCCACTATGGAGGGAATTTGTAAAAGGCCCCC